CAGAGGTATGGTCTAGTTTTCTGAACTTCTACCAGCATTGGCTTTTCAGCTCTGCTTTCAGCATTCTACAGTTTCTCCAACCCACACTTCCAAACTCTTCCACATTCACGCAGCAAACTAGTTCCAAAGGTTTTAGAGGCACAAGACCAAGGCTATTCACATCAATGACCCACTAACTCCCCATATCAATGTCCTGTATTGTGACTTTTCAGTGCTGTTCATACACCATGTAAGTAGATGAGGGGTTTAAGTAGGCTCATCAATTTGAGGATTCAATACTGGCTGCTTGTCTCCTAGTGCTTGGATAGATCTTGATGGCCATGGGTTTGCAGGGAAGAGAACCTTTCCACATTCTTGCATTGTGTCTTACATTCTTGTTTGTTGTTGTGAAAAAAAAATGAGAGAAAGGCAACTAATGGGAGAAAGGGTTTATTTTACATCCCACATCAAGGTTATAGTCCATTATGATGTGGAAGTCACAGAGGCTGTGGTCACATCGCACCCACAGTCAGCAAGCAAAGAACAATGAATGCACGGTACCTATGGTTCAGTTCCCTTTCTCTGCTTATACAGTCCACGGTTGTAGCCAGGGGTTGGTGTCACCCACTCACCATGGCTGAGGAAGACATGATGGAAGGGATGGGAAGCTGACACATTGCATCTCTAGTTGGCAGAGAATGAGCAGGAAGTAGGGTCAGGAACAAGAAGTACAACACCTCAAGGAGACTCACCTACCTAAATGTTCCAACCCACCCCCAAACAGCGCCACCCTCTAGGGATCAAATGTTCAAACCCACCAGCCAATAGAGAACATTTCACACTCAAAGCACAATAGTCAGGGAGTAGAAAGCAAGACAAGAAGGGACCAGAGGTGACATACCCTCAAAGGTCACCCTCACCTCCTCCCAGTTACCTAGTGCTAGGCTGCACCTCCTAAAATTACCTCAGCTTCTCAATAAATTGCCACCAGCTGATGTCAAGCCCTAACACAAGAACCTTCAGACGGACATTTCTTACACTGCTTATTCTCCCTCAAACCTTGGCAAGCCCCTCCCCCCCAAAAAACCAAAAACAACAAAACAGAGCTTTCCCTGAGCCACTGGGCTATTTCTAAAGGCTCCTGTGTCTCATAAAACTTTGATTAAATAAATTTGTCACTTTTTCCCCTTGTCAACCTGTCGGCCATGATTCTTTGATGGCCAGGGAAGCATTCCTCATCTTCCCACCCCTAACATTCTGGATGTAGACTCAGAAAAAATAAAGCTACAGTGTCTGCTTTTGTCTTTATTGTTGATTTCTTTGTTTACAGAAATCAGTAGCAACTTTCCAGAGCCTAAAGTCCTGCATGGGATCCCTCCATGATGCCAGCTTCTCTCCAGCTTAATTTAGCTTACTTGGTGGCAGCTTATTGCTTGGAAAGGACACAGCTGGGAGGGAGAGCAAAGGCAGCTATGCTGTCCAGGGAACCAGGCAGGAAGGGAGTTCATTAGTAGAACAGAAAGCAGCCTAAGGGGGCAGGATACAGTCAGGAAAGAAAGAATCCCAAAGGTACTGGGGTCAGAAGAGCCAGCGTGGGCAGCACCCCTTCAGTACAGGAACCTGACATGCTGATTTCCCCAGCTTCTGCCTGGTTCCTGGGCAGTGTGGGTACCAACTATAAACCAGGACCAACCACAGCTAAAGGCCCTGCAGGGAGCTCTCTGAACACCGGAAAGAAAGGGGCTCTTACAATCTGGGCACACCCATGCAGCCCTTAGTTGGGTTGCTGACTTCCTCTGGAACAAAGCCTCAAGCAAAGGGCCTTGCCTTCATGGACTCAGCTGCAGAATGAAGGCAATGGCATTGAGTAGCCTGGTGGGGACCTTCAGCCACAAGGCTGGTGTTCCAAAGTGACAAAGCACTCCCTGAACAATGTGTCTTCGAAATGCGTATCACTGTGCAGGCCAGATAAGCTTAGGAAAGGCTTTGAAACCATCTCCCTGTGGACCTCTGTAAGAAGCCCTCGATTTGTCATGGAAGATTTGGATTGAAAAGCAATTGCCTGCCCCCAGGGTGTCATGCTTCAATAGGAAAACCAGTGTGTGTGTGTGGGGGGGGGGGCGGGGGAGCC